ACGGCGGCAAGAGCAATACTCAAATCCGAAAAAATCAAGAAAAATTCAATTATTTATTTAAAAAAAAGGTTAAATTAGACCAAACATAAATAGTTAACTACCCATACGTCTAAAGGGGTGACTTATCAACTTGTAGATTTATTCAAAAAATTTTAATGCACTATTTTTAATAGTCGTACAAAAAAAATGCCACTTAGTTACAAAATCTATATGATAGAGAGAGAGAGAGAGAGAGATGTGCGGGCGGGCCAATGAAGCGGTAGCGCAAGATGTCCCTTTTACCATGTATCAATTGGGAGACTCCATTGTAAAAGTCATGATCTAGCTGCCGTAAGCCGCTATGCAATTAGCTGCATATATTTAGGGGTGCATTCATGCAGTGCCCCTATGTGGCTTGTAAGCTGTAGCTTATTGACATGCAAACATTTTTTTGGGAGTGAAGTGTGGGCTAAGCTTAAGGCACCGTGTGATAGCCAAGGTGGTTTAGGTTGGAAATGCCAGCAACTTATCACTTCACCAAGTTCAGCGATTATATATTTGAGAATTTCCTAAAAAATGCATATCCAATTAAGAACATGCGAATGGCCTTTAAACACAAGTACGTGTATGTGTTCGCTGCACTTGGCTTATGCGATAAATGCGTAAGTCACTTAAACACCCACAAAGTTAGCCGTTTTATAAGAAATCGCAGAAAATCGCAACACAAAACCTAGCGCCAAGATATCAGTACAGTTTAAAATTTAAGGAAAATCTCAGCGGAATTCCAACAACTGTATGTGGCACAACCAGTCACCACAAGTTCTTGTACGATTTTTTCGAAGAATCCGGCCTTCAAGTTATTCAATTTACCCTATATATTTGAGCTTTAAATGGTAAAAAATGTATTTTTGGAAATTTTTAACTTCTCTAGAAAGATACGGATGCACAGTATGACCTTTTGATCAGCGTAAAATAAAGGCTGAAATATTGGGATATAAGACTTTGAAACTTTCTTTCAGAAATACCAATTTTTATTTCAACCGACTTAACCGCATAACTTTGGACCACGAATACCGGTTTCCATAGTTGGTACCTCAAGGGTGGTCCGGTCCGAACTTGGTTTTGATTCGATCATTGAATCATGAAGAAATTAACGATACTACTAAATTTTTGTATAAGAATTGAAGTCGGTTATGTTTTTTTTCTTTCTATAACGAAAACCCGTTTAAATCAAATTTTTTAACTATGTATATAAAATACTTATAACAACTCAACAAGTTTTAAATTTGTTATTGAAGGTGTTACACACAGCCTTTTTCAAGCACATCGAGATTTAGTTTTATTGATGGCATAATTTTAGAATTTTTAAACATTTTCATGAAAAGCCAAAAATGAGTCAACTCAGTATATCCTAAAAATATCCCCAAAGAGCCTAAGTAAATCATAAAGACTTATGCAAATTTGAAGTTAACGCGATGGTAATACGCGGTAACATTCGGGAAAATGAAAAAAATATAAAGTAGTAAAAATTTTTATGAAGTTTAAAGATCGTATTTGCATTTTTTGTTATACTGAAAATCAAAAGAAGATGCTAAAAGTGACCGGAAATATATATAGGCCTGCTCACAGTTGCGTCCCTCACAACTCTACACGACAGCATAACTTCCTAACTTTTGTTTTCTGCATAAAAATCCGCAGCCTATTAATCAGCCAAACCTGCCCCTATGAGGAGCATGTAACTAGATACCGCATTCTTCGGGATATTTTGTGCGATCAAAATTTGCGATAGCAAATGTTGAAATTCCGCTGCTGATCTCAGTAAACAATGGAGGAGAAATTTTAAAACACCAACCCTTATTGACTAGTGCGGGCCTTCATCTTTTTCTTGCCATATTTCATACTCTTAAATCTGTGGTATGGCCGAAAAAGTTGTACATGGGGCGTTCTATGCCAGAATGGACGGGGTTCACACTTCATGCGTTTGATTTGTTTAAAATTTTTAGGGACAAACATAAATAATAAATAAATATGAAATTTGAGCTTGATTGATACATTTTTAAAAACTTTACAGCACAAAAACAAAAACAATTCGGTTTAATAGTTTTCCAAATATATCGAGAATAAACCGAGAGAAAAATTTAAAAAAAATCACACATACACACATCAAAATTCTCTATGAAAATAAATATTTTTAAAAAAATTTTACATACAAATCTTTTCATAAGAAATTAGTTTTTGAAAATAACCCACCTCAAAAAAATTTAAAATCACAAGAACTTGCACTTTATTATACTAAAATTTAATGGGCTACAAAACTACATACTCAAAAAAATTCTAAAAAAAATTCTAAAAATTTTCTAAAAATTCGTAATGTACACATTTTACTCAACTTCGGTGTAAAAAAAATTCATAACTAAAATTATTGTAGAGTGCAACCCATAACACTATACTTAAATATTGCGCAATACTTAGAGCTACGATTGTGATTTTTTTTTCAGTTTTTTTTTAAGTTTTTCTAGAAAAAATATTTCTTTTCATAGAGAATTTTGATATGTGTAAGTATGTAAGTCGCCTCCAACCCATGGTACAATAATTACAGGTATTGTCTTCCCAGAGAGTTTTGCTTCACAACCAAAATCGTGCTCCCTTATTTTCATTTTGACGAAGTTCAATGTTGATTCTTTTACTTTCATTTGGCTTTGCTTTTTGTTTTCGCTCAATTTAATTTTTATAATTTTTCAAAACAAAAGAAAAAACGTTTAAAATTAAGTAAGCCGTACAAATTTTGAATTTATTTACGAGCAAATGTTTTTTCCCAGCTTTTGCAAGTTAAATAAGTTCTCTGCAAGATGGTTTGTTTAAAAAAATACGTGAACATTATGATATATGGGGTATGGAAATATCCCTTTTCCCTAGCAGTAAACCTTTTAGTGTGGGCAACAAAGATTATTTTTAAATAAGGCAGGTCGGAATATGTGCTCTCAGGTATTGTCTGTAATTATTGTACCATGCCCCGACCCAAATTAAAAAATCAGACTACAATCAATAGTGTTTCCGAAATTAACAAATTCTTTCTTTACTTTCAATTAATTCTTCAACATAGATTAAATGGGTCTTCCACTCTCAATTTGAACGAACCCAGGAGTTACCTCATACACAGAAGGCAAAATAAGGAGTGCTTCTACATAAATAAAAGCTTTCCGGGCGGGCCTTTTCAATAAGAATATCCTGTTGGAAGCTGCACCATTAGAAGACAAACGAGAAGGTGTCTTCAAAACACCGAATCGTAGCATATACACGTGTCGGTCCTATCTGGAACCAAGTTCAAATTGAATTATAGTAATTTCATGTAAATTTATCCTTCCAAAGGTAGTTAAGTCAGAATAATCTGAAAGTCTGGCCATTTCATGCAAAATAAAATGGAGTAACGAATCGAATCGCGGAAGGCATACAGTTTCAAAAGATCCCAAATAAGGGCAGCTAAAACGCCGTTTTTTCTAATTTTGTCGCCTGGGTTAGGTGCGGTTCTCGCTGTTTTTACATACATATGTACATTGGATTGGTCCAAAAAAAGTTTCCGAGATAAGTTTGGGGGCACCTTCCAAAATTTTTCCTTTTGCCAAAAGAGGGGCTAGCACCAAACTTTACGTTTTTAAGTATAAATTTAGAGGATACTTTATTGAGTTAAGCAACCTAAGATACTTTCAAATGTAGATTAGCTAAAACAATATCACAAGCTTAAGTTGTCATGAAAACACCAGCGTTTTATAAAAATCATCAATATCTTTGAGGGTTTCAAAGGGACTCAGTAGAGCATTTCAAGGATATTGAGGGTCTTGGTTATAGTAGAAAATTTAAAGTTGGTACATATATAACAAATACCAAAACGAAAAACAAACTAAAAGCGTACCACATTCTCTACGCTGAAAATGTTTCCCCCCATAAAAAACTGGGACCACTCTAATATACATACAAGGATCATAGTTATCTTTAACCTGCCGCATCTAACACCTAAACCACTGAACATTGCATTGCAACCATAGACCTGCATTATATTTATTACGATCAGGATCTGCACGTAACTCCGACTGGATAATTAAAAATAATTACTCGCCACATTTATTGGCCGCCAATTTTACAGCTCACCAACTGCCAACTTGCAACCCAACCACCGGTTACGATTACTATGCGCGACAACAAATTTGCATCGCTAACGCCTCCCAATGGCCGTTAGCGCTTATCACACGTCACTGGGCCACAAATTCAATTCACAGTGGCGGTGCACACACACACACAAACACATAAACCGTGAGTATGATTAGTAGAAGCGTAATTGTAGCAGCCAAGCGAGAGAAGATAACGCCAAATTCCAACGCATCATAAATCCATGCCACCCCACTGGAGGTGCGTGCCTCCAATTACCGTTAGCAAAATATTTTATTTTGCCAACAAAATTGCGTTTGCGACACAGCGCTGTACGTACGACTGCTTGTTGTGGCAGCAAGCAAAGCGTAAAGCAATAAAATGCTAAAAAAAAAATCTATTTGAATAAATAAAAAGTGTGTGGCCTATATGTGTGTGGGTAGATGTGTGTGTGTGTGTGTGGTATGAATGTAACGAACAGCTGACGTTGTAAATTATTTTGCGCTCAAATAAAAGAAAGAAATGAAAGAGAAAAGTGAAAACGTTGTTGTTGTTGGCGCTTATGTTTATATGCAAAAACAAACAAAAAAATATATATAAAATAGAATTACGTTACAACAACTGCTACAACATGAGAATACTAAACTGAAATTACATCGAAAAAGAATTGGAGTGTGGACCATCGTCGGCTTGGTATATATGTAGATATATTTTTCTTTTCTTTCATACATATACAAGCCACCTAACGGCAAATAAATACGTTGAGTAACAAACGAACGATGAACATACATTCTCGCACGTGCATACAATTCACTGAAATACAGGCAGATATAATGCATATATCCAATTACATAGGCACTTACCCGAATAAAAAGAGTCAGCAGCGCACAAACAACTCGCTGCCACCCTCACCGCACGGCCGCACAACTGCTTAGGTGGCTTTCTAATCCGCGCACGTTCACCGGTGATATTTTACGACGACCAAGCCGTACTTGCGTTCTGCAATAGAGCAGCACGCCGCAGCCTCAATGCGCCACAGCTTGGGTATTTTTGTGCGGCACCGGCACGTTACTGGCTATGTACCTATACACCACCGACCAAAAGTGGGCGCAAAGGATGCGAACTTATTTAGTACGTGTTACTATGCCGGGCAGGTGCCGCAGCGAGCGAGTACATCAAGCTTTTTTCTATGGCAAACTGACTGTCACGACACTTAAGGTTGAAGTGTTGTTGCGGCAAATACATATATGCTGCTTCTACTGCATACTGGCAGTGGCAATGCACACAAATAACTTTTAGTACTTCAACGAATTACACGATTGGAAATCACTTTTGCGTTTAAGTTTATGACGCAAACATGTATTATGTACTTATATAATAGGAGGAATGCACGCTGGCAAAAACGACTTAATTTATCAGCGCAGCTTGTGGCCACAACAACAACAACAATAACAATAACTAGTAAGCACGACAATAAAAGTTAATAGTTACCTGTCGCAGCAATTAATTTCGACGACTGCGCAGTGCACACGCACACACGAAAACAAAACAAACGACCGGTAAAGCTGCAGAATTTAGTAAAGTCGGCCACAATATCCACAAAAGGGGTTCACACAGCGCTCGCAGAAAATTTTATTGCGAATCGAAATTTCGTTTGCATCAATTTAACACCGAACAATTAGCACTGCTGTAAATATGTATGTATGTATGTACTAGCAAGGTGTTACGCGTAGCTGAATGCTCATGCGCTGCTAGCCTACCAACAGCAGCCAAAGCTAATTGCTTTTTCTTTTGTATTTTACTTTTCTAACTACTCGCACTCGCGCTATCACTGACGCTCGGTACAGCGGCTATGTACTAGCGAATTTTCAACTTGCTGCCTAGCACTCATCACTTCACTTTGCAGTTTAAAAGCCACGCAAAAAACAGGTTTTTAAATACCTGTATATGTTGAAATCCTTTTTATTGCTTAAAATTGCCAGTAAAATGCACGTAATGAGGACGCATTCGCAATGTGGGCCAAGCACTAGAGACGCAGCGAAAACTGCATTATATGTACATCCATGTAGCGAGCAACGTACAACAAACGATAGATTTATATTCAGCACGAAGTACACCAAATCGAACCGAACCGCACAAAAGTTCCTTAGAGACTGACTACCACCAAGTGGTCGGCGGCCGAGCACAGTCTGTATGTTTCAGTTTCACTTGAGTGTCGTCGCATCGTATGGCGGCGAATAGGAACAGTGACAGTCTTCGTCGCTGTACAGACAAGTAGCAACAGCAACGGCAACGGCAATTCTGGGAACAGCAAGGAATCGCATTAACAGCGCTAATAAATAAATAGCAGTTGGGCGCAGCAACAGCGGGGGCAACACCCCATCAACATGACTCGACACTAGCACCAACTTCACAGCTTCAGCAGCAATTTGGCAACAGCCGCGATGCTGCGGCGGAAGTCAGCATTGACGTCGGGTACGAGTTGCCACTTTAGCCACTTCGGGTGCTGAGAATGAGCATAACTGCTTTTAGTACATTCGTCACAACGACAGCAACGTGGATATTCGGGCGTCACCCATTGCATGCGTGTCGTGCGAGCGCGGAGCCGGATGCTGATACTCTATTTGTGCCACGAGTAACGAGTGTTGTGCGGAAGTGAGCACTATAGGAGTGAGCATCCTCTCTTTGGCACGTACTTCCGTTTGCGGGTGGAGGGGAGGCGAAAGCAGGTGCAACAACTTGGATGCTGCTCTATGCTCTCATTGGTGCAACGGCGGAACAAAGTGGTATTGAAACAATAGTTTTGAATAGTTCATTTGAATAAGTGCAGCTATTAAATGTTTTGATTATAAAGTTTATTAATAGCAATTGTAGTGATAGAGATATTAGGAATATTAATGTGTGAATTTAGTGCGGGCGTAAAGCGGTATGGTTTAAGTATCGGTTTGTGCATTGACATTTTTTAAGGTGCGGCAATAATTAAGGATGTGTTTAATTTTTATGTAGATAGCAAATGCTTGTTGCCATTTTAAAGTGTAATATCAGCTGCGGGTTCGATGTAGTGGCGGTTAGGGGATATGAAACAAAGATGTGTTATATTGATTTCTATATGAGATTATTTATATGTAAATTTTTAATTCACCTGTTTATGTATGTTGGATATTAACGCTCTATATGTGCAATCTTAATAATTGAAATTTAGGAAAACCTCAATTTTTGAAATGATACATAAAACGCCAAAATTCGTTAACTTAATATTGGCCATAAGAATATGGATCTGTATACCATTTTTCAAGTTCAGCAGTGGGATTCTGACAATCGCTATACCAAAGTTTATGTACCCAGGTATGAAAAAACCCGTAGCTTCTGCAGTTTTGGTGTTTCCGTTCTCAAATTTTTACTCCTTAGAGTTTGACAACTATTTAGGTTGAAAAAGATAAATATCAAACATGATAATAATAAAAAAAAAAACTTTTTATTGTAATATATCTAACACTCTCGCGGAAAGCCGAGGTAATTACGCAAATTTTGATACCTTAACTGATTTTCTGCGACAAATAGTTTATTAACTGCAAACAATTGAAAAAGATACTTCCCCGTGAGCTCAAAATTTCGGGAATTTTTTTTCGAAATTTTCGAATATCGTGACGAAATAAATAATAAAACAACAACAAAAAAATAAAAAAAATAGGTGTCTTCTTGTTTTCGATAAAGAATGTAAAAAAATATATTTCACCCCAAAAAAAATATTGAGTTGTAAATATTGTATGGAATGACCCATACATATCTTGCGGAAATCACCTGATGTAGAATAACATATCTTAATCAATTAATCTGATCAAAATCGTGCCTTGGCAGACGGCACGGCAGCGGATTAATGAGCCGCGAGCACGTAGGTTCGAATCCCACGGCGAGTAGAATATTTTATTTTTATTATGTTATTTATATATAATTTTTTTTTCATTTAACTTTTTTTATTGATTCAATTATACCTTCTATATTTTTTTTTGTTTTTTGTACTTAGTTGTTTTTGACTTTTTTAGTAATATTAAAGTTTAGAAATTCAAAGTAACTAATAATAAAAAAATGTAAAATAAAGAAAAAAATGTGAAATAAAATAAAACGAATGAAAAGAAAACAAAGTAAATTTAAATATATAAATCAAATAATAAATAAATAAATAAATAATAAAAACAAAAAATTTTTTGGCAATCGCTCCAACCAAGGATCGAACCTGGGACCTGCAAACTTGTAGTACACAGCTCTCACCACTCGTATTTGTTTGCTCAGAGCACAAGGAATGGTTATAACTAGCATAGCTATCCACATTGTAGTCGGTAATGCAGTCTCCATACTATTTCAGATAAGTTGTTATTCAATTTTAATTGGATTCCTATCTGAATTAGTACGGTGACTGCATTACCTATTAGAAGGTCTGTGTCCATGCTTGTTTTACATATTCTCTGTATTTTACACTCTCTGAGTTTTGGTCAATGTTGTTGTCGAAAATTGCCTTGATCCTAGTTAAATTTGGGAACAAACTCTAGGACTTAATCCGGATCATCAGCAGTTAATTCCCGAGAAAATTCCGAGTTAACTAATTGATCCGGATCAACTCTGGCGTCTGTCTATGCTTTTAGCGTTTTATTTTGTCATTTTAGCGTCCCTATGCTAAAATTTCTTATTACCCGGATAACACAAATCTCAAATAACATGTCCCCACCAAAAAGTTAACCATCTCAAATCGAACTTAGGGATGGGTAGTGGGGGGTTGAAATTCGATTTTTCCGAATTTCGAACATTTCCCAAACATTCGATTATTCGATTCGAAATTTGGTGGTGAAAATTCGATTTGATTCGAATTTTTTCGAATTTTCCAAAAATGTTTTTAATTGAAACTTCTTAATCGAGTTCGGAGATGTTTGCGTTAAATATTTAACACCAAGTTATAAAATCTGTATCGTTCGTTAAATTAAAAAAAAAATTAAATAATCGCTTTCGCAGATGTATACGTTAAATATTTAACACCAAGTCATAAAATCTGTATCGTTCGTTCGATTTTCAAAAAGGAGGTAGGTGTTAAATGAAAGGGCTTGCCCTGTAGATGTGTGTATGTAATCAAAATCAAATTATTTAATAAGTTAAATAAATTACCCTAATTTAGGTATCAATCGATGGTTTTGAATAAGCTTTATTTTTTAATTACATTTAGGAGGGGTGCCACCAACGTAAAAGTCTCTAAACATTTAAAATAAAAAATCAACAAAAAAACTAGTTTTTTACAAACAAAATTTTAAATTTGAGTTTGGAATAACATTTTCTTCTAGGCACAGATTTTTTATCGCGATGCATCAGTTCGAAAATCATGTATTTTTTTTTACTTGCATCCCTAAGACAAATGGAGTGCCACACACAGTGATGGCAAATTTAGTCAGAAAGAAGAAAGTTGAAGAGTTGATTTTTTTGGAAACAAAGATGAAATTCGATTTTTTCTAGAAAAATTCGATTTTATCCGAATTTTAGCAACACAAAGTTCGATTTCAAATATTCGCCATTTTGGAGCTAAAATTCGATTAAAATTCGAATATCGAAGCTTCGAATATCGATTTTGCCCATCCCTAATCGAACTTAACCACATCACTAACTATTGCTGTCCACACTGCGGTTTGAGGTTTATAAAGCTGTACAAATGTAGGGAACAGTGTTCGGAGCTCCAAAACTCGCTTCAGGACTAAAAATCTGAATGAAAACAAATTTTCCGTGCTAGATTGAATTTTTTATTTTCGTTTCTGACATTAATTGTATGACTAAAATATTTTCTATTCATGCAAATATAAGAATGCGAGTCAATGTAGGGATAATATGTTACATATTTAGGTAATTTTTAGCATTTACTATTAAGTAGAACGTTTCTAACACTTAGTTTTTTAAAGAGCAATAGGATCTAAACCTTTTCTACTTTTTATAAATTTCATTCTACACATATTTCTTAACAACTTAAGTAAAGTTCTGCATCCGCCAATTTCTACAGCCATACATCAAAAAATAACCAAGTTACTTTATTGACGCATTGCTATGAAAGAGTTACTTTTTAACAGTGAGATTTGGCTAACTTTCAATTTTTTTACTGAAACCGGTGGTGAACACTCAAAAACGGCCCCAAGAGGGGCATAACATGAATGAAAAAAAAAAACGGAATAGATTTGAAGTCAAGCGGAGTAGAGTAGTAGATTTCAAATTTTTTCAAAAACTGGAGTAAATCTAATCTGATCTTAGTTAACTCCAAACACTAGTAAGGAACGAATTTTTTACATTTTGACGCTAATGAGCCACAGATGGCGGGAAAACACAGGGTTGTATCAGACTTTCGACGTAGTTTCGAGTTGGTTAGCATTTAACCATCTCAGTGAAATGGTTAAGTGCTGTCAATTGTATATGGCGAAACTACGCTAAATGGAGTGGGTTATCGGGATAACCAACCCAACAGCCATACCTACGTGGTATCTCCGGTGGGGACATGGTATAAAATGTGAATAGCAGTGTTTTTATAAGCTTCTTAATGTATACTGTGCTTTTATAAGGTTCTTTTAAGGCTCTGATCAAGAGGTTTTTTATGGCTCTGCAAGTAGGCATATTTTTATAAGGCTCTTCTTTTATACTATTTTCTCTGCCTTCCATTTTGTGTCTAGGAAAAATCGTCTAAAAACTTTAACTTTTAGATCTCTGTAAATTCTTTTCACTCAAAGCGATTATTCAGTAATTTTTTGTTGAACAATTAATCAGCAACAAGCAAATTTATTCTATTCAATGCTCTTCCCAGAAACTTTTTTAGACTCCAAAATATACGATTCAAAAAAGAAATACCCTATGAAGAGCTTTTAGCGTAGACTACTTTAGATTTTAATATATAAATTTGTTTTACAAGTTACTTTAGAGAGGCTGTGGCGCTACATTATTTTTTCTTCTTTGTCAGGCGAAAAAATTTAATCACCCGTTTCGTAATTTTTTAGAAATTTTTATTAAAAAATTATATTGAATATCACATTTTCACAATTTTTTTTATAATGTTTATATCTAAATGCTTTTTTATGTACGATTTTCCACATTTTTTATGAATATTAAGAATTTCATAGACG